GTGTGTGCAGCAGCTGTCTGGTCATGTGACCGTCCTCACAGGAAGCAGCAGTGAAGGAATGAGTCAGAGATTCCTCCCTCAGCACCTGCAGACTGAACCGGGAGCCTGAAACATGCCGAGCTGCTCCATTCTGCAACTCTGTCAGTACGAAACCAACAAGCTGGTCCGGATCCAGTCGGTCCGGCTCGGCTCTCTGAAGTGGAGCCTGAACGCTGCCATCCTGCTCTTCATCTGGTGAGTGCAACGTTTCAGCCCACACACGTCTGCAGCTCGGCGCTTACTTCCTCAGCCTGCACTTTCACAAGTCCTGCTAGTTCTGTGGACACTGACAGGAGTCTGTTAACTGGAGGCTCAGAGGGATTTATACTAACAGAAATACCTAAAGTGTAGGTATGTTTATGCTGGGGCTGCCTGTCGTTGGTTCTCACATGTTCATATACAGCAGATTACTCATTCAGTTTGAACTAACAAACATAATCTGCTTCTCAGAGACTCAACACAACTTTGTCAACTCATCCATGAACCTGTGTCACCAGTGGTGTGGCAGTCAGCAAACAATCAACCTGAAGATCTGAGACATGATGAAACTGTTTTAAAAATTTAAAAGAGAACAAAAAAACCCAAGAAAAAACTAGTAAATAGACAAGACAAAAACTGTAACAAAACCAAACAACAACAACAACAATAGTGTAAGACACAAAAAACATCGTAGAAAAACTACAAGAAACACTGCAAAAAACAAGACGAAAACAGTGTTAAAGCAAAACCAAAACTGTGTTAAAAACAAAACTAAAACTGTTAAAACAAAAAAATTTAAAAACAAGATAAAAAAAATAAGACAAAAACTGTTATATGATAAAAATCATTAAAATAAGACTGTACAAGAGAAAAATGGTGCAGAGACGGCAACATTGGTGCAAAAAATAGTGCAAAGAGAAGAGAAAAACTGTACAACAGAAAACAGTGAAACACAAGACGAAAAGTGTGCAACGCCAAAAACAGTTCAAAAACTAAAGCAGTGTAAAAACGACACAAGAAATACTGAAAAAACGGTGCAAACATTAGACAGAAACTGTGCAAAAAGTGAACCAAAACAGTGGTAAAAAGAGACTCAAACACAAAGACTGGATTTGTTCTGTTGTGTGGCTTCTTAGAAACCAAGCAATGAACCTGCAAGTTAACAGATAATTAAAAAAAAATAAAATAAATTAAACCAGGTTTGAGTTGGTTAAAACCACAACAACATCCTGATTATCTTTGATCCAAACTTCTCTCTCTCTTCACTCGTGTTCTCCTTCTGTTTACCTGTAAACGCTTTTAAACACCTTTAAACACCCTTCAACACCCTTCAACACCCATAAACACCACTAAACACCCGGAAACACCCTTGAACACCCTTAAACACCCGTAAACACCTGTAAACTGCGTGTTCCTTCCTGTATTTGCAGGATCATGATGTTGTGGGACAGGAAGTACCAGGCCTTCGACCTGGTCGTCAGCTCCGTCACCACCTAGGTGAAGGGCGTCGCTCAGGCTCGGCTGCCCGGCGTCGGTGAGCTCGTCTGGGACATGGCAGACTTCAGCGGAGCCTCTCAGGTCGGTCCTCCGCTGCTGCCGAGACTCTTGACTCTCGGTTTTTAACAAGGAGGAGCGTTTAAAGACGTTTTTGTTCTGTCTGCTTTCAGGAGAAAAACTCCTTCGTGATCACCAACGTCATCGTGACGCAGAACCAGAAGCAGGGAAAGTGTGCAGAGGTGCTGCTTCGTCTTTAGCGCTGTTTTCACATGTTTAACCAGTCAGTTAGCTGCTCAGTGCTAATGGACAGTTAGCAGAACTTTCTTGTTTTGCAGCAGTGGTTTTATTCCAGGTTCCTTCCAAAGGCGGAGGCTGTCACTCTGACCAGGACTGTGAGAGAGGAGGCTGGGACCAGCACAGCCACGGTACCAAACTAACAGCATTACTACTGATTAGTTCATGATAATTCATTTTAATTCTGTGTCTGAAAGCAAAACAAGACCAGCTTTTAGAAAACCTGCATCACGTGTTCATGAAGCAGAAAATACTGACAAAGGTCGGAAAACCAAACTGGGGATTTCTCAAACTGCATCACATATAGGAAACTCTACATAACATCAACATTACCATAAAACATGAATACTTGTAGAATCAGTGTAACNTGGGAGCTGGTTTTAAAATTGCTGAATGAAAGGCTTCCAGCTGCCTCTAGTTGTCAGTCACCCCAGTTGGTCTTGTGTCTGAATTTACTTTGGGTATTTAGGGTGAATGTAATTTCTGTTTGCTACCTTACTTTGTTACCTTAGTGCTGCAAGGTATTCCATATGAAAGACATATTTAATAAGTTTGCGAATCAATTCATTTGGTGTACTGAAGAGAAGGTCCAACATATTAACAAAATGTCCCTTTTGTGCAACGTCTTTTGTTTCCAAACCAAAGCCAAATATGGAGACCTACCACCTCAAACAATATGTAGTAGTTTGGCTATGTAAAGAAGTTGTTCTTCTGATTTATGACAGTATGTGAATGCAACTGCTTCCACCACCACAGATAAACTCTCAACCTGTCGAAAAACACTGATCATCCCTTTATAATACACTTGAATGGGCACCCTTAATTACACAAAATGAAAGCATCAGAATGTTAACATTTTCTATGTAACTTCCAAAGACTAGGCTACATAAAGGCCAATATAGTGAAAGACCAATAAATAAAACTACTATGGAATTAATAAAACAATGCTGTCCGTTCAAAGTCCTTTCAAAGTTTGACTCATTCATCCGTTACTTGTGCTGCCCTCGTGCAAAGTGGCAAGCAAAGTCATACTTGCTCTTGCACTTGTGGCCACAGATGTTGCACTGGAATGGGTTCTCGTAGCCATGGCAGCCCATGTGAATGGTGTAGAGGATGTTGTCGGGGAAATAGATGTCACAGTGCTGGCAGTGATGCAGCATGTGGGGGTCCTGAAGTGGGGCGGACAGGCCTGGGGCCGGTGTACTGGGTTGGCTGTTGGAGATACTCGGGGTACTGGTGCGCCCACTGTGCTCGCTGCAGGGGCCTCCTCCAGGGCTGCAGTTACTGTGGGGAGCAGCCCGGGGCTCTGGGGTGATTGGGGAAGAGGAAGAAGCATGAGCCATGCTGGCTGTGACAGCAACGGGAGCTGTGGCAGGGTGTGGCTGCTGGATGAGAAAGGGCTTCTCATCGACGATAGACTCTGCTCCTGGAGACATGGGAGCCTGAGTCTGGGCCTGGGAATCTGAAGGAAGGCTGGCCAATTGACCTGCTAAGGTAGACAGTTGATTCAGGGGGTTATCCATGACCATTTCATGGTGATGGTGATTTTGATTTGTGGAGAGCCCATCCTCAGCTACTCTACTCTGATTATCATAGCTCTCCTGACGTAAGTGGGGCAGCTCATGGGAGTAGTCGTTCACATTGTCAGCCTTGTGCACCACCATAGAAGGGGGGCTGAAGTTGATGAGGAGCCGGCGGCCATAGCCCAGCGAGCTGGCTTTTTTCTGTAAAACACTCAGCATCTTCTTATGAGACAGTGAACGAGCACCTTTCATTGGCAGGAGTTTATGACGTCTTCGACGATGGTGTGACAGGTTGCTACGATCGCTGCAACGGAAGGAGCACAGCTCACACTTGTAAGGCTTCTCGCCTGTGTGTGATCGCATGTGGGCTTCCAGGTGGCGCTCGTAGGCCGAAGCAAATGGACAGAGGTGGCAGCGGTGAGGTTTCTCTCCTGTTTAATTGAGGAAAACAGGTTAAATAACAAAATGTTGTTAAGCTTGTTCCTTGAAGGTTAACTGTTAATACTTACCAGTGTGAATTCGGATGTGCTCAATAAGTCGTGCTGTGCCTCTGGTGGCATAGTTGCAGTAGCGGCACTTGAGCTTGCCGTCATAGGTCCTCTCAAAGCCATCCACCAGGATCCCTGAGGTATCTTCTAATGACATGTCCACTGCGGGGTGATCCAGTCCATTCTGACTGCAGTCTGCATACAGGAACATTGGTGCGTTTTATAGAACATGAATAGTTTGGCTGTTATGAGTGCATTTCAACAAATGGCTTTCTCGTTGATTACAAAATGTACATGTACAGATGTGTGACAAACTACAGGAAATACCAAAATCAAATGTCTTAGTAAGGTGGTAGGCCACGATGTGCAGCCAGAACAGCTTCAATACACCTCGGCATTGATTCTCCAAGTCTCTAGAAGTCTACTGGAGGGATGGCACAGCACTCTTACCAAGTCATTTCCTCATTTGGTATTTTGATGATGTTGGTGGAGAGTTCTGTCTACCATGCTGGTCCAAAATCTTCTATAGGTTATAACAGGTTTCTATAGCTGTTGATGTGTATGTCCACAAGGGAGTATAATCAAGGTGTTATACTTTGTCGGTGTCCACAAATATGAGAGGGTATACTAGGACCCTTGTAGTCTTGCTTAGCCAGCCCATTCTGTAGTACATAATGGTCTGGATGTACCTCATTAACATTCTGTTTTAAGGAAAAAAAACAAAATGATGCTGCTTTGCTGGGGAAGCAGAGAGGTCAGAACTGCAATTAAAATAGCTAATTAAGAAACCCCCCCCCAAATGGTCGGTCTATACCCACGTTCTACATTGCTCGTCTGCAAGGGAGCATAATCAAGGCTTGAGGAACATGTGGACCCAAACTACGATGACCAAATGCCCCCCCGCAGTCCAACAGCGCCACTGGATCCCCTCATCGTAGGGGTCAAGGGTTCAAGTTTTTGCTTGAAGTTGTCACTCATCTGGATGTTGTATTTGTGTTTATCTTAAAAGTGATACGATGCTACACGAGCATAGCTGTGGTTATGACATTTTGAATAAAGCAATATAGCCAGGGATTAAACACGTGTATTTATTACACACTTATTGTGGGGAATTGATAATGGTGGCCATGCTTGACTCCTCTCTATGAGAAATTTCACAAAGGCACAAATTGTAAAGGTGCACACATAGATTGTTCTAAACCAATATGCCAACAAACAAAAGGCAAAGCTAGTTACCTGCAGGCAGCTCGTCCGCCTCCTTGACGCCGCTTACAGAACCTGATATCATGTTGACATGTTGAGTCTGCTGGCTCAGATACTCCTGGAAATCCTTCACAAAGTCCAGCGTGTCCGGCTTTTCCTCCCCCATTGAAAGAAAGTGGCAGTGATGCAAAATGTCCAACACTAAATAAAAAGACATTATGATATAAGTTACTGCACAAACACTGAACAGCACAAATTGATCGAGTCAGAAAACTTGCTATATAATTAAAATATCAAACAAACCCACATGCGACCAACCAGATTTTAAAAAGTCAAACTGCCAGTATTATAGATGTTAGCTAGCGGATTCTGAAAGATTCAACACCTACCTCCTCGATGACAAGCCGCCGGTTAAATGTAACCAGTATTGATAGGTTTGGTTTGAAATCCCGTTTTGTGGCGATCCAGACACAAAGACAGGACAACCCTGGAAAGCAATGATTGACAAGCAGGAAATCTGCGCGATCCGATGTCTGGCCGGTCGCTCCTACACAGCGCTCCTCAGCATCGTCATGTTGTTACCAAAGCTACGTACGCTACGTTAGCCGCACCGCTAACGTTAGCTTACCTGGGAGAAAGCATCTTTATCAGCAGCGACGCCAGCATTTGTTCGACACCGTCACTGCTTAAGTAAATCTTCAAGAATAATACGAGTTTTAAATATTTATCCCCCTCGATAAACTAGCTCCAATTCACGCGAAAAGACAACCCGCTAAACCAAAACAATAAACCAGTTGAAGGGGTTAAAGTTCACTGTGTGTGCACCGCTAAAAGCGTCCCCCAGCTGCAGTGTAACCGCGTACAAAGGTTCCTACCTGTGACGCTGTAACTTCAGGCCGCAGATGGTCGTTAATAATCTGGTCAAATCAAATCAAATCTTGGTCAAAAGAAAATAAAAAAGACCCTGAAATCGGATTAGATCACATAATCCAGTCTTGGTTTTGATTAGAATCAAACCTGCAGTAAGCTTTGTGTTGTTCAAAACTTGTTTTTTGTTGTTGTTGTTGTTGTTGTTGTTGTTGTTGTTGTTTTAGTTGGATTGGGATACAATCAGGATTGTCCTGGTTGCAGTTGAAGGGTGGATTGAAGGGGCTATTTATGAACAAAATGTAGTAAAAAAATTGAAATTATTCAAATAATCCAACATTTGTTTTTATGTTGTATACATACATTTATTTAGATTACGCACTTGATTTGAGGAATTACATAAAGTAGACATCAGGCTATCTATACAGCCTTTCAGTACAGTGAAGTTAAATCAATAATGAAAAGGAAAATAATCCTCCAAACAACTGTTGATACAAATATGGAAAATGGAAGAGGAGGTTTATGTTTATGTTGTACAGCTCTGAAATGTATTTTTAGACCACTGTAACAAATGTTTTCTGCCTCTTCATTTGTGGTTCTTGTTGAAGCTATGCTGTATTTTCTTCTTGAGGTTGTTACAGACACAGATTTTGTTGCTTCCAAGCCTGTTAGCAGAGACTGTCTTGCTGTATCCCTCTTTGTTGAGCCACAAGATGGCTGTCCTCTCATCATTCCACATTCCTCTTCTTTTAGGCATTGCAAGATGATAAATTAGTTTGTATTATTTGTTAACTTTACAGCTAATGCACAAGATATTGGTGACTCAAAAATGCATGCGATCAATTAGTGTTAATTTCAACTTGTTTACAGTTTCAATACATTACATTTTTAAACCTAATTTATTGTATGTACTGAATCATAAAAAAACTTTTTCATATTTCCCCAGAAAAGGCTGTAATTATTTATCCACAGTGACAAAATTCTGACAAAATTATCAATCTTGAGGTTGTATTGTGCAGAATTTGTAAAGAAAACAACAGGTGGTCTGATATTTATAATTCCCAAAGCTGCATTTAGCAACTTGCTCATATGTTCACACATATGTATTTGAATAGGCTAAAAAGACAAATACAGTTGAGGTTAAAAACAGAGACAGTAACACTAAATAAATTATTGTCAATGCAAGCTTTCACTGAAGTCGTGTAGTGCAGTTTTTTTTTAGAGACGGAAGTTCTAATGATGACAAATTGAGACATCCTAAACATTAAATAAAAGGGAAAAACTTTCTTTCAGGATCATCCTACAGAGAGTCTCTAAACTAATCAGTACATCTTCATGCTGTTTTTACTTGGATTCATATACCACGTTTTGTTTTTTTTGTTTTTTTACTTGAACCATGGTCGCCATCTTGCGGCCAAAACGCGGAGCTACACCACTAAATATATTTTAGTCTCATACAAGCGTTTACAAATCCTGCTGCTCACATTTAAACAACAAAATGGATTAAAAAAAAAACTTCCCTATCATATATTATCGAGCACGTAGGAAGAAAACGAATTCAGTGGAGTTTACAGTGAACTTTACGATCCCGTGATTACCTCGACCAATGAAAACTCTCCTTCCCAGCGCAGTGCATTATGGGTAGCACTATCCAAACTAAAATATACTAACGTCGAATTAAAACTCGTAATAATGGTTTCGTTTAAACCAGTAGGTATAATAAAAATATTAGATAGTTGGAGCTTGTGAATATTAAACATGTAGTAATGGAACCATGAGTAACTCTTCGTCCTATAGTTAGACCTATAAAAAGTGACGTCCTCACCTGGGAAGAGCGTGTTGTATGAAAGGAGAGAAGGTTAGCACTCCCCTTGACAAGGATGGAAGTGGCCCTTGTGGCCTGCAACACACATACGGTTAAGGCATTGCCACCTACTTCGTGGCATCTCTAACCAAGTTTTTTCATTGNTCTGAAAGCAAAACAAGACCAGCTTTTAGAAAACCTGCATCACGTGTTCATGAAGCAGAAAATACTGACAAAGGTCGGAAAACCAAACTGGGGATTTCTCAAACTGCATCACATATAGGAAACTCTACATAACATCAACATTACCATAAAACATGAATACTTGTAGAATCAGTGTAACATCACTATTTCTACTCATGAAGCATCTAAATATAGAATAAACTCTGTGCAGTGTTGTTATTCTCCCCATTCAGAGCAACCAAACATGCAGAACAATCTACCGTCAACAGTACGTTTGTATACTGCTCGCTTATTTTTATTATTTTTATATTTCTGCTCATCTCAGATTTCGGTTTCTTTTTTTAAATATATTTTTTTGGGCTTTTGCCTTTATTAGAGCAGTAGAGAGGGAGAAGAATTGGGGAGAGACCTGCAGCAAAGGGTCATGAGCAGGATTCGAACTCACAACCGCTGCGTGGGTGACTGTAGCCCCTGTTCATGGGTCGCCCGCTCTACCAGGTGAGCTATAGGAGCGCCCAGATTTCGGTTTCTTAAGGTCCAGAGTTAATGTAGCAGAAGTCATCATTTCAGCTCTGATTTACTGAATGTTTTAAAGCCTAAAATATGGATATTTAAAAAGGTGTGTTTCAAAATGAACTTTAAAATAAACAAAACAAAAACAAAAACAAAAACGCACATCAACCCACTTTCAGCACAACATCTCATTGACCTCTTAAGACCTGAGCTCTAATAAAAAATAAAAGTATATGGAAAATAAAAATTTATTTGAAAAAATATCAAAAATATTTTAAAGAAAAAATATTTTTAAAAATGATTAATTTAAAAGATTTTAAAATAAAAATCTTTTAAAATAAAATAAATACAAATAATAAATAAATCAAATATTAAAGAAGAAAAAAAAGAAAGAAAAACAATTATGTACTGTGCTAATATAACCCAAAATGTGATGTCAAAGCACATGGGCACCAGGTCTTAAGAGGTTAATATTTAAGATAAAAACCTGAAATTTTCTTCGTTATTTCTTATTTCTTATCACATTGTTGAGTCAGGATCTGTAGTACTGGACAAATAGATCAATTAATCTCGAAAGTCCAATCTTGGAGCAGCTATTAACCAAATAACTGATAAAGCACAAGTCAAGTAGTAATGTTTTCTATCTGTGTAAACATGTAGAAGACTTTTAATGTCAAATACTTGGTCGCAAAAATGAAATGTCATGAATGATTCAGCCGATACAACAAGCTGTGGTCTCATATATGGTTCTAAATCAGCGAGATGAGAAATCAGAGCGATCATTTCTGGTTTATTTAGTTTTAAAGTGCTGAATGTGGATCGTTTTCACAGATGCCATTTTAAAAATCCGTAGTTTCTTCTTTCAAGCAACTAAAAGATGTTTGATCAGAAACCCGCCGATGATTTAGACTGAACCACCTTTTATGTGTTTTATCGTCATCATAAACTCAAACTGCAGTTTATTGGCTCCGTCCTGCTACTGCCAACACTCACGAGTCGAGACAACCTGAGCCGTTTCCTCATGAAGGCGAGGAATGTGTCGCCGCCGTGTGGCTGGGCTGGGTTCTGGACTTTATGCTTCAGTTAACTGCTTATTTTTTATATATCTAAAACCACATCTCACCTTTTCACCATGTAGCTAAATCACCTCTTCTAAGGACAGTTTGTTAACTATTGTGTCCATATGGTGTTTTTTAAAGACATATTATCAACAACAGTAACATTAACTGTATTTCTACCACAAAACTGCAGCACAGGATGCTAATAATAGTCTCAAAATCATGGACTCAGTCTCTCAGGGTTTCATATCAATTTTAAGGAATCAATCCGGTCAATTTGCAGAATAAGGCTTCCCATATCATTATTCTTCCTCAGTTTTTTTTTTCCTGATTCAGACATGCATGGCTGAATTTCTCTGACATTACAACTTGCCACTGTGTAGTGCAGAGTAGCTTTACAGTGTTTTGGGGAGGGGTCCCAGGTGAGCTGGTTTGCTAGAGCTGCAGCAAGCAGGGAGGGTTGGATGAAGAAATAAGNCAGCGCAGTGCATTATGGGTAGCACTATCCAAACTAAAATATACTAACGTCGAATTAAAACTCGTAATAATGGTTTCGTTTAAACCAGTAGGTATAATAAAAATATTAGATAGTTGGAGCTTGTGAATATTAAACATGTAGTAATGGAACCATGAGTAACTCTTCGTCCTGTAGTCAGACCTATAAAAAGTGACGTCCTCACCTGGGAAGAGCGTGTTGTATGAAAGGAGAGAAGGTTAGCACTCCCCTTGACAAGGATGGAAGTGGCCCTTGTGGCCTGCAACACACATACGGTTAAGGCATTGCCACCTACTTCGTGGCATCTCTAACCAAGTTTTTTCATTGATTAAACTTCCTCAATGTGATGCCTAACTATTTAACTGCTTATTTATATATCTAAAACCACATCTCACGTTTTCACCATGTAGCTAAATCACCCCTTCTAAGGGCAGTTTGTTAACTATTGTGTCCATATGGTGTTTTTTTTTTAAGACTTATTATGAACAACAGTAACATTAACTGTATTTCTACCACAAAACTGCAGCACAGGATGCTAATAATAGTCTCAAAATCATGGACTCAGTCTCTCAGGGTTTCATATCAATTTTAAGGAATCAATCCGGTCAATTTGCAGAATAAGGCTTCCCATATCATTATTCTTCCTCAGTTTTTTTTTTCCTGATTCAGACATGCATGGCTGAATTTCTCTGACATTACAACTTGCCATTGTGTAGTGCAGAGTAGCTTTACAGTGTTTTGGGGAGGGGTCCCAGGTGAGCTGGTTTGCTAGAGCTGCAGCAAGCAGGGAGGGTTGGATGAAGAAATAAGCAGGGCGTCTGCAGTAGAGTTACATCTAAGCCATTTTATTAGGAAACGATCATTTTCATGGACAACACATCTTAAT